TGGCGGAAGTCATTGATGTATTGTGTAGGAGTCGAAGGATGGCGTATGCCCAAAAAGGTTGATTGGGTTATGAGAGCGTTGTTACTAACAAGTCGAAATGGTCAAAAGAAAAATTCACCGGAATACAACAAACAACAATCTAGCTTCTGTTAACGCTCTATGAAAACAAAGAAAAGAAAGCTGAGGGAGCGGACCCGATCCCACAACGTCGGACCTGCAGATCGGCCTCTTTAACCGTTTGGCTATCGCAAAAATAGCGGGAAAAAACCTTCGTAATTTTGTTCACAGCATCGTTCAGCAGATTTGGAAGACAGATTTGGAATCAGCGTTTGGAGACGCATCAGGAGATATGCATCTCATTTCAAACGGCCACTTCGACCTACCATCCTTCCCTTGTAAGCTTCCAACCAGATTACAGTAAATTTTAGTCGAGGGGTTTTTGTCGTTTTATCTATCCTGTTTATCCCAGGAATGAATGCCCAGTGAGTAGATAGTTGGGAGTGTTTTATCCGATGTGCTCATGTTCCCAGAATAAGCCAAACTGAAAACTCTGTATTTAATTACAAATGCTGACTTTCTATTGATTATCTTATGCATAACATGAACCCTAACGCTTGATTCTTATTGATCTCTTTACAACCGAGAAGTAGTTGGAACGTTTTCTGGTTTTTTTTTCTAATCGTTTTTTTCTATACGTAAATGAGTTTGGTGGAATCCGAAGCATCCAGCAGGCATTCACATAGTTATACAGAATAACAATCGGATGACGCTCGCTGACGTTTGCACTCCTTTTGACGTCACAACACTAGGCAATACTATTTTTAGTGTAGGTAACTAAGTGCTTCGACGACTTTGTTATCTGGGAACAAACCTCAAATAGCTTCTATTCACCAAGGACAATGGCGATTATTTTGAGGAAGTACCAAGTTTGGTTGATGACGTCTTGCGTGGGTTATTGAAGGGAAGAATAACACCAAGCACTCCGTATAACTCCTTAGCTTTTCGTTTACAGAATCGGAGAGGTAATGTGTCCAAAAGCCTTTTCTGCTCATCCCTAGACAAGAATCAACAATGCTACCTGGCCTTTGATATGCTTGTGCAGTTCTGGGAAAATTATTTAACCAATGACAATTAGTGTGCAGCTTCCTCACCTACATACATGCTTAGATGTGGCCCTAAAGGGAGCGGATATACTTTAAAAGCCTCCATATAGCCACTGTCATCTGCTCTTCTCATTCTTGAAATGAACGCGACATCTAGATGAAGAAGCTTAACGGTTCCCATGGTGATTTTTATAAGCTGATCAGATTAGAGTAAATGAAATATTAGTCACGCTAACAATCGGAAATTGTGCAGCTAGAAAAACAAAGTTAGAAGGGGGTTAAAACGATCAGCAAAGTTTTTATTATCACATTGTTTTTGTATTTACCAGTGTTTTCCTTCATACCGTACCTTTTCTTCCATATCCGATTGTTTCCCACCCGTGCTTACGGCAAGGCAACCTTATGGAATGGGTGAGAGTGCGTTGAGTAAGTACCTACTATGTAAGCTAGGGGGGGGGGGAGGTGTTACTTACTTATGACCTAAGAATACATTGATATCGTAAGATCTATGAACTCCCATTTCTTACCAGTGGTTTCATCCCAGCATCCTTATCGCATCATTTTGCAGAAGGTCAGGTAGACTAACCTACCGACAGACTAAGTTACTGATATATATTACACAATATAATGATCAATATATTATAATAAAAATAATAAAGCATTTGCCGTTGATCAATCCCTTTTGGGATGCGGCACGCATTCTACTTCCATTTGTACATTCGCAGTGGCGTTTGAATGCGATGTGGCCTATACAATGACTTGCGGGGGCCAGCCGATGTACAAGTCAGTGTTTTTATCCTCCCAGACAAGTCTGGTACCAATTAACCGACCCCGGAGGGATGGAAGGCTTGGTTGGCCCGGGCGACTCACGACCCAGGATTTGATCCGCGCGCCACTTGCCACTACACCACTTCCGCCCTTCTTAAGATATATTTACCACAATACACTATAAAGGTATCAGTTGAGGCTAGGACGACACACACACCCAGATTTAATCCTCGGACCGCGCGCGTGATAATTAGCACAACTTCTTATTACACCACTCCTGCCCGTTTATACAATATTAAATGAAATTAATGCAGTGTGGAATTGCCTCAGATGTTAAAAAGAAGGTCGCCAACGGGAAAATATGACCTCACCAAACGTAGCGTCGGAATCGAAGTGAACCTAAACGTCTTTCTTACAAGATATTCGATTTTTATTTCATTTCCCTGTTAGGGAATCCTTTTCGAACTGAAAGTAAAAGGTGGCTCTGTTTAGATCTGGGAGATTGCCCGTCTCGAGAATCCTATTCGATGCGGAATCTGGTACTCAATTGCTCATATAGGACTCATTTTCTGGATTCCAGCGCTGATAGTTGTGGTGAGTTCGAAAATTCTTGCAATTCCATGATGTCTAGATTCCGACTCAACATTCTTTTATATTGATCAACTCAGACTGCTTTGTGGAACTTAAGAAGGTATTGCGAATCGAGGGGGTCGAACTATGTATGTATAAATGGGGTACCCGGATGAACTTAATCGTGCATCATTTAAACGTGCGGTTGGGAAACCTCTTCATTCCTTCCTTCGGTTCTCACCATAAGTAAATCAGTTAAGTTAGGAAATTCGCAGGAAACGCGTAACTGCCTCAGAAAAGGAAATAAGTGGTTCAGTTTCTGATCTTCCCTTTACTGTGCAACCAAGAAAAGGAAAGGTCATATTGCAGGAAACAAGATGAAGTGGCACGACAAAAAATGCCCAAAATGATACGAAAATTATTTGCCTCAGAATACGGCTTTTTTCTAACTGACTGGCCATGATTTTGCGACTACATTCGAGCGACTTCTTTCCGGAGCTGAAAAAGCAGTTCTACCAAAAATATTGTCATACCGGGTCTTTCTTTTGTTATAGGAAATGAAAAATTTTGACTCATGATGGGCCAAAAATTCACAAGTTGCTTAGGCTCCGAGCAATCCTGGTCCTCTACGATTTTGCTTGGCTTCAATTCAAAGTCAAGCCACATTCAGGAAGGATTCACTTGTTACTTTTGTTCTACCAATTTCTACCAACCATGGCATTCGCCTGCAAGATGACTAGGGTCAAAATACTCCGGAAAGATGAATTGTTCTTCTTTAGATCTGCTATTTTATCGTACTCTCATGGGTGTTCGTAAATTCACGTCCGTCGATCTCACGAGGCGGAAACCGCAACGGATCACTCCAGACCGGATGTGAAACGGTCGACACCGTACTCACGAGAACATCAGGTTGGAACATTTTGCTCCAGTTGTAAGACCTCCCCACTCTCGCTCCTCCCATACACGGGAAAGGCATAAAAATTGCAAAGACGGTAGCAGATGTCATTCGGCTTCCCCTGAGACAGTTGACGATTCATAAAGAGTTGCTTGAATATTAAAAACCTTTCAAGAACTGCTCGCTTCTCTTGCATAAATTTATAATGTAAATTTGCATACTGATGAGAGCGCTGGTAATGGAATATTGATCAGATGATGTGCCCATGGAATTTCCAATACTCAGAAAAACGGACATTTCTGCAATACCGACGTCATATGTACAGTGTTACCCGAATGTATAGTATAGATTCATCCTATTTTCCTTTGATGTCTTTGAAAAAACTGAATGATTTTCTTTCAAATTTTTACCAGCAACACAGTAAGGGAACTGTATTGATATATTGTGAGCAGATTTGAAAATAAAAACAAATAGATTTTTTTAAGATTTATTTTTGAAAAACTTGGTCCCAAAAGCATAGTTCACTTGGGTGATCAGATTTTTTTGAAGATATAATTACCAAAATTTCACTATAAGTATCACTAGGGACCCTGCGACGCTCCCTCTCCTTTCGATGATTTCAATCACCCGCTTCCAGCTCC